ACAGCACAGATTACTTTCATTCTTGTAAATAAATTAGTTAACAAGGTAGTTTCCTATTTTGGCTTTACAGAGTTAAGAATACATGCTAGACCATTGCAGGAAAATGAACTCTCTTTAACAACCCACCTAGAAAACTAGTTAGCTGTTCTGAAACCCCAAAATTACTTTTACAAATCAGGAATCTACCTTAAATGACAGAAGTCAATCTACAACCAGGTAAATTAATCTGTCTGCATCCAGCCTAGGAAGGACCACCTCATTTAGCGTGTGTCTGGGCTCAACCCCGCTACAAAAAAAAAAAAAAGAAAGAAAAAAATGGCATTCCACTGTTGAGCACCTACTTCATACTTCCTACCTGAACCATGACCAGCAAGAATAAGTTGCCATATCATTGGAGACTTCATTCAACTCTTTGACCTTAATTTTCACAGTTTCAGAAAACTGCTAACCCTCTTTTTAATTCTGACCTCTTTCCAGAGCTTCAGTTTAAATACTTAACTCAATCCAGGCTGAGACTCAAACTCATCACAAACACCCTCTGGCTATGTGTTCCCCTCAGCTCCTCAAACAGTCACTGAGAGTTGGTAGCTGACTTGTTAAATTGTGAATCAGCCACCAAAGCCTGTGCAATTCCCTTCACAAAAATCTCTTACGTATCCTGTATTTCTTTCATCACTCCATATCCAGATTTGCTTTTTAAAAAAATCATCTACACTGCATCTCAGCTTCCTCTGTAACCTATGCTACTCACCCTCCATAAACAACACACTTTGCATACATCAGGGGCTGACAGGCCAGAGAATGATACTCAAACTCCCTTGACTAATAGTTCAAGTCTTCCAGGCCTACTTCCCACTATGCTGGAGTTAACACCATTTTTTCTGTGTAGGCCTCTCTTTGTCCCATATTTTGGTACTTTTTCCTATCATTTCCCAAACAGTTACAGAGATAGCACTAGAATTCAGGATTCCTTAAGCACTTATTAATCTAACCACCTTGACATACAATATATTTCTATGTGATATAAATGTATTATCTAGGCATTTCATGCATTAATTAGTAATAATTGGTATATTATGTTAATATAATTAACATAATTTAACTCTCTTAATTATCTATGTAAACAGTCTATCCCTCCAAGTAGACCACATCTCTGGAGACTATATTCCCTAGAGATAGGAAATACAAGAATTGTTCCTGCTGCTGAGTCAGAAGAGCTCCAGCAACCTCAATTAGGAAGCTATTTTGTTAGATTGTTTATGATTTGCCTAAAAGATGAATTAACATTAGATACTGAAAGCAGCACTATTGATTAATCGATAAATATAAACAAGAAGCTAATTAAGGACCTAGTGCACTCTTCTTAATGGGAGTCCAGTGAGATGGAACCAGACTCATGGAACTCCTGGCGGTTCATGTTAGCTCAGATGAAAATCTCGTCTCATAATTAAACAGATCCATTGATTTGTAGTTTTTCAAAAGCTAAATTGACTTCAACCCAGCCTTGCCTCAACTTTATAAACTAGTTCCTAAGTGTACTCTCATGAATATTAATAAGTTCATCTGGCATTTGACAATCTTAGTCTACATAAAAAAATTCCCTAGCAAAGACTATGCATTTTAAAAACAAGTTTTAAAAAAAAGATGCTAAAAGCAATTATTTTCTAATAAGTGTTATTCTTCCCTTCTTCCATAGCAATAACCTTCAAAAAGCTGCAGAAATAGCTGACAATCGAGAGGCAGTATCAAGAATTCAAGAGCTCAAGGGCAGCCTGAGCTAACTGAGTCCCTGTCTAAAAACAAACAATAGCAGATGTGGAGATGTTATGTTTGTGTGTGCTGAAGGAGAGAGTCGTCTCTCCCTCTATAACCCTCTACACAGGAGTAGCAAATTAAGCAAATATAAATTTGACAGACTAATGTACGAAGTTCTCGTTTTTTGATACTCTTCTTGGTTTCCTTCCAGTCAATAACTTCACCCCTTCTCCTCAAAGGTCCTTCCCCATCTCCCTGATCACCAAAAGCCCAGAAATTGAAACAGTAAACAGTTCCTCCTCAAGGTGCATTTTAACCACCACAAGCATTCCTACTTAGATTAAAACACGAGTCTCCCTGGTGTCTAGACATGCCTAGACATGACCCGCAGATGCAATGAGATCGTGGAGTTTCTCTAGTAACTGAAGGCCGAATCAACAGCAACCCTCAGAACAAGCATTCTTCTCTGTTGCTGCTCTTTTTCTAACAGAACTAGAGCATAGACATTTTTTTATTGTCATTTTACTTTTCACCTTGAAGGAAAATATTTTACAGTCTAAAATTCAAGACACTATAGCTTTGGATGGCAGCAGTCAAACTCAGGTAAGATATTTAAGATGCAACTGATAATCAGGAAAAAACAGCTAGATGAAAGCAGTAAGTGTAGAGTAAAATGGAGCAAAATGTAAAATAACTGATTTTGTAATGATATCTACACAAAATTTATAACTTGTCATGTTGTTAGTGGAATGGAGGTTATTCTACTAGCTTTATTTATTTGTGAACATTCAAATGACATTTTGTAGCATATAACATAGTTCCTTCCTCAAATACAGGAAGAATGAATACAAAATATAGTTACTTGCAAATGATGTCTTTTGCAAGCTAATTTTACAATTACCTGGCATTTTCTTCTTGACTTTGATTCCTTTCACTTAAGTGTTCATAAAACAGACTGTGATTTTGAAGAAAAAATATTCTACCTTTCATTTTCAAAGATAATGTTAAAATATATGCAAGTTTATTCTTGGGAAGTTCTTGAGTTTTAATGGTTTGAGTTTGGAATTTGTGTTGAATATTCCTGATGACTAGCATGTATTCATGTTATTAGTGGCATCTCTGAGACCATATATTTGCTGGGCTTAGGTGTATAGCTAAGAAGTTTCCCTATGTAGACTGTAACACTTTTTGGATCAATACAAATGGGTATTATTATACTGTGTACACATGAAGACAACAGTCTGGGGAGGCTACTTCCAACTGAATTCCACAGAGTTTGCAATCAGAGGATGTATATCCTCTCTGGTTTCATAGATAAATGAAAAGAGAGGAAAGACTAACTTAAAGAATGGAAATATTAGTGAGGATGGAACAGAAATTCTGTCACTGTCCCCTCAGTGCCTCTATTCCAAATATACACAAACACACTATTCGCTGTGAACTAAAGAGCAAGGAACATTTAACTGTCACAGACATTGGTTCTCGGGCTTTGCAGACCTCACTCTAGATGCCCAAATCTACCCTTGTTTCAATGATCGACTCAAAAATCTCACCTCCTTCAAGACTGGTGTCTGTCAGCTCTTCCTTACACCCCACCCCCAGCCCACCCCCCCCACCCCCCAACCCCCGCCGCGAGCTTCTTTCTATTAGTAAAATCTATCAGTTTAGCGACTTCATACTGCCTGGAACAGTCACTAATGTGTGACCACCTAGACTGTCTGATGGATCGTAGAACCAATGCCCTTCGGGTGCTAAATAAGTAACAGACATTTAAATAAAACAGGAGCCCAAAGAGGGAATGGTTTCCTCAAGGCTTACCATGAGATCACAAGAAAACAGTGACTTTGATCTTTAAAGGACCACACTTTGACCACAAGGGGGTTGGTTCAGTGTTTCACTAGGAGAGTTGAGCGGCCCTCACCTCATTGCATGACCCTATAAAAGGCAATCCTAAGAAAGAACTCAGATATCGGCAAGGGCAATCCTGCAGGCAAGTGGACCTGGGAACTTCTTGGGCAATAGGGAAGAAGAAACGAATGCAGGTCTTTGCGCCCCCTACTACACCATCAAGATAAACCTCTCAAGAATCTGTGTCTCCATCTCCCAGGCCCCCTCCCAAGAGGCTCTTCAGGAGCCAGCCCATTGCCCCTTCTAGTAGCTTCTGCCTCCCCTCCCCCACTCGCCCCGCCCCCTCGACCTCGGGGTTCCAAGGGCGGTTGGTCGCAGAGCCTCGGCCACTTGGCCAGTAGGAGCTGCCTGGCGCGCGGGGTGGACAGAGCCTGCTGTAGAGTTGGGGCTGGAAGCCGAGGAGAAGTTGTCGGAGGCGGGTCAGACCCGGAGTGAGGGAAGCAGGAATCTGTCCGGATGCCCAGGGGACGGGGGGCGAAGCGGGAGGGTCTCAGGGAACGGCGGGGACAGGGGCCCAGGCGCCCGGGGGTCACCTGGGGTCGCGCGCGGCCCTGCGGGGATATGGAGGGGCCCCGGGAGCCTGAGGCATCTCTCGCTCCGCCACCCTCGGCCGTTGGCTGTCGGCCGTGATGAAAAGGGGGCGAGGAGCCCGACCCTCGGGAGCTGCAGCGGCGGACACCCGGTGCTCGGTTTGTAGGCAGTGTAATTAGCTGATTGTACCGCGGTGCTGACAATCACTAACTCCACTGCCATCAAAACAAGGCACAGCATCACCGCCGCCCGCTGGAGGAGAAGCAGGCGGCCGCAGCCCCGCTGACTCTGCAGAAAGCGGAGGCCGGAGCCGGGATGCGTCAGCGAAGGGGCCCCGGAGCACGAGGTCTAAGTGCAAGTAACCCTCAGAGACTGGTGGCCTCCTTTAGGGACCGTTCGGCTACCTGTGTTTAGGAACCAAAGCAAAACGGTCCAGTGATATGCAAAGGGCACCGGTGTACACCGGCCTGAACATCACAAAAAAAAAAAAAAAAAGCCTGGAAGAGCCCCCCAGAACAGTTCCTGCTGCCTGCTGTGATTCACTGCCTGTTTCCACTTCTGAGAAAGCTATCACCAAGGCAGCAACTAGAGTCAACCACAGCTTGACTGATGATTCGCTGGTCACAATCAACGTCTGGGAGCACCAACTGCAGGCTTTTTCTATGAGTCTAGTTACTAGGCAGTGTAGTTAGCTGATTGCTAATAGTACCAATCACTAACCACACGGCCAGGTAAAAAGACTGAGATTCCTCCGACTGAGCCTCGTGGGCGTCGTCGATTTGGTGAGGACAGGGCCATAGGGAAATGCTCATACCATCTATTACCTATTCAGTTGTTTAGGAAAAAAAAAACTAGCACTTAAGCTGATGAGTATGCAATGTGTGTAGTGTGTGCAGTGTGTGTGTGTGTGTGTGTACACATGTCAATGATTTTTAGATATATTGGAAAATATAAATTATCTCTTAGTTGATCTGGTCACTATATTGACTTGTGATTATAAATCTTTGGACTTTGCCTGACACTATAATATTAATAAAACTCTGAAAAATAAAGTGCCACAAAAAATGCCAGCTATTAATATTATCATGTGTCCATTTCCTTTCCCAAACTGGCTTTAGGGTGTCCATCTTAGCGCCTGTCAATCCCTGAAGTAATTAAATTGTTAATTACTATACAAATAAATTCTCCAGGGAAAATGCTCACACGTGATTGTGAACCTGTTTGTAAGGATAGATTAAAAATGTTTTCATAATTTTTCACGGAGTCGGGGGGGGCTCAACCCCGCTTTACTAGATTTTTTTTTAAAATGACAACCGTTGCAGTCTAAGCAACTTTTGGTGTGAATAATTAGCAAACACAATTTAAGGCCAGCTTGTTTCCTAGGATTTGTGCTAAAAGATTTGGGAGGCTTTTTAAACACACACACACACACACACACACACACACACACAAACTGTATCCATGGGTACCTCTCGACCCAGTTCTGGTAGGACATCATGCCGCCTTGATGTCTCAACGTAGACCTGAGAACTACGCGCGTTAGGGTGCTGAGCCTTGGCAATCTTGTCCAAAAGGGGAGCTCTTCAAGTTCACTTTATTCGTGTTTGGGGATCTAAGACACTTAACTGCTATCCACTGACTCCAGGACTGTACGCATCACAAAGTTGATGGTTTGACTCCAAGGCTTGACTGACCCCGAAAGCTGTGACCTCGACAGAAGCCAGCTACAGATGGGCCACGAGAGCTCTAGGATCTCTAAGGAAGAAACCCAGGCTTTCCTGTGGTGACAGTTACCAACTGGACGGTTCTCCGGTGGGGGCGGGGCGAGGGAACTAAGGGTAGCGTCCTGAGTCACCATGGAGACAGGGCACCGTAGCAGTCCTAGCTGCGAAAAGGATTCCCAGGAAATCTGCTCCCCTGGATTACTGGTGTTCACAGGCTGCTCGGAGCAGGATGCCAACTTGGCTAAGCAATTTTGGCTCGGGGCGTCCATGTATCCCCCTACCGAATCTCAGCTGGTGCTGACCAGAGACAGCTGTCAGAGGCTGCCAGTGGCGAGGCAGTCTAAATCCCTTGTGAGGGGTGAGTAGCATTGCTGCCTTCTGGAAGGAGAAACTGCCCAGCCTAACTGTAAAAGAATCAACTGTCTGAAGAATGTAAACAAGCGGTAAAAGGTATACGCAAATAGTTCTGAAACTGCTGCGATTCTCCACTGCAAAAGTGGAATTATTGTCAATATAAAAGCCTAAGAGTCCCTTAAGTGACGGCTTCTATTTGGCAAGTAAGATGGGTTAATCTAAGAAAATGATGTGTGTTGGCTAAAAAGACATTAGAAAACATAAAATTTGAGTTCAAATTTGAAAGCCTGAGAAAAAGTTGGAGGTAGAGTCAAATTTAGGAACCGCCTTCCCTGACTGACAAACCTCTGGCCAAGCATGTATAAAGTGTTGTTATTCAATATTAATAGGTATAGAAATCCAAATACTTTAATGTCTGCTTTTCCAATAACTTGCTTTCCATTTGTATTTCTTAGAGAAAAATCCTGCTTGCTCCTTTTCCCTTGATCATAACAGTAAGTACCAGGTTTTAAACCCCTCAATAGGTAAACTCTCCAGACTGTCCCTACGATTTTTTAAAATGTAAATTTTTACACTGTGGTATAATTGAGTTGCATACCCCATATCTTGCCTCGGGGCCCAAACCATACAATCAGAAGATAACTTTCTGCAATGCGTGACTAGAAACGCAGATTAGCGTCTCTGATCCTTCATGTAAGGATTCAGGCATTATGCTGACCTGCCCCTGTCACCTGGCAGAATGCGCTCAGGCAGTACCCTGGTCAGCCCAGGTGCAAAGGACCCCTTTAAAAGAAAGACCTCCGCCCACTTATGCTCTCTTTCTGCTCTTCTCTTTTCTGCTCTCTCTTTCCTGATCTCTTTCCCTTTCTCTTTCTTGCTGTTCCTCTGGAACAGACAGTACTTTCCTGTCTCCCTCTTCTCTTCTGTCTTCTCTCTCTGTCTCTGTGTCTCTTTACCTCTTTTCTCTTTCCTTCCCCCTTCCCTCCCGTTTCTAATAAAACTTCTCACTAATCTCTGTCTGCCTGGCATGTTTGTCCCTCCACCTAGGTCATCCTTGCCTGCCATGGAATCGGCCAGGGTCCCCTATGTGTATTATCCTAACACTACAGGCACTTTCTCTTCAGAAACTGTTTCTTGTCTCCACTCATGCTTACTCGTGATCTAAAGGGATTAAAGGTTTCCTGATGGCATAAATAATTAATTCAGTCTCCAGCTATTTATGATTCTGGTTATAAAGTTTCAAAACAGTATATATTTGTGCCCCTCCTGCTCTACTAACCCATATCCAATTTTATGTTAGCACTACAGGAATCATGATAAAGTTATTTCAGATTAAATTTGACTTTATTTACTCTAGGGGAGGTGGATGTCTTTGCTAAAGTCCAAAAGATTCAGGAATCTGAAGAGAAAGCAAAGTATCTCCAAAAGGTGGGTCAATGCTTCATTTTTTCTGATTTTCATTACTCTTCTAAATAATTTTGATAAATATTGTTTATTGGTGCTGAGTATATTTTACTTTTAAATACATGCAAATGAGCTTTCAGATATCTCAGCCTTGAAAAACTTTTTGTTAGAATTTTAATTAAAAATTTAGAAATTCTCGGGGGCTAAAGATATGGGTCCGTTGTTAAGAGCACTTCATCTCTCAGAGGACTAGAGTTTGGTTCCCAGTGTCCATGGCAGATGGCTCATTGCTGCCTGTAACTCCAGTTCCAGGGTATCTGATGCCCTTTTCTGGCCTCGGTGGGCAGACACACACATCTTTTATAAGCTAGGTCTAGTAGCACAAATCTCTATTCCCAGGGGGGTAGAGAAGCAGAGATAAGAGAATCAAAAATTCAAAGCTAGGTGCTGAAGAAATGGATCAATGATTAGGATGCTTGCTATGCAAGAATGAGGACCTGTGTTAAAATAATCTCCAGAACCCTTGTAAAAAGGCAGGTATGGCTTCGTGCCATTGTAACTACAGTGCTGTGGGAGATGGCAATAGGAAGATGGCTGGGGCTTGCTAGCTCCAGGCTAATGAAAGACCCTGTTTCCAGGGAAGATACAAGATACCCAATGTCCTCCTTTGGTCTTCACATGCAAAGAAGAGCACATACCAGCACAAACAGTGTGCATATCACACACACACACACACACACACACACACACACACACACACACACACAGAGAGAGAGAGAGAGAGAGAGAGAGAGAGAGAGAGAGAGATTTAAATTTAAGAAACAGATAGCAAGGATACTTTGAGTTCACAAATATCAAAAACTTTCAAGGCTAAGTGGAAATGTAGAGTTGACTCAAGGCCTGCTTGAGAAACTTGGTGAGACTGTTTCATAATTTTAATAAATGTTAAAAAGGACTGGGTGTATAGCTCAGTGGTAGAGTGCTTACCTAGCATGTGGAAAGCTCTGGGTTTGATCCCTATTACTACAAAAAAGAAAAATGCATTCTATTAAACTTTGGCTATTGTCAGTCTCTTCCAAAGCTCACAGGAAATCAGAAACATAAACACCGACTCACTTTTCAAAAAAGCCTCAAATCATGCACAATAGTCTAAGAACAAAAGTATTTTTAAAGTGGGAAAACTGTTGTCTTAATAGGTCAAAACCAAGAGAACCAAAGCATGAGTCTGTCATCTGGACCTGTTTTAACTAAAAGCTGATAGTAAACACATTGGTGTCCTGAAGCATTTTTTTGGCAGCCACATGATACAGCTTTTAACTCAGCAGCTAATATCATGATTAATAACAACACTTAGTTTGATCCGTGGATAAACTATTTCATTATCAAAGCAGAGATAGAAAACCTATTTTAGCCTAATGTGTTTAACTACTGAATATATTGGCAAAGTCTAAAGGACATGCTGGGAATTCCACATAAATTACAGATCAATTCACTTGACTTTTCTGGTTGCAACAATTCACTTAAGACTACTGGTGATTATTTCAAACAAATTAAGTGATTAAAAAATTAACACTTTCTTCTCTTTTTAGAATATTAAGTACTAGACTCTGTCTCAAAAAATTTATAACAGGATTTTATAGGATATATATATATATATATAGTGTGTGTGTGTGTGTGTGTGTGTGTGTGTGTGTGTGTGTGTGTGTGGGTAGGTAGGTAGGTAGGCACACATTCCATTGCTTGCCTGTCAAGGTCAAGTCTCAGGAGTCAGTTCCCACCTCCTACCTTGCTGAAGGTCTTTCTTATTTCTGCTGCTGGCCTGTTTCCAGACGATTCCATGTCTGCCTCCTGTTTTGCTGTAATTGCAGATGTGAACTACTATGTTTGGCCTTTTACATGGATTCTAGCATCAAACTTGAGTTTTTAGGCTTGTGTGGCTAGTGCCTTTACCCACAGAGCTATTTTCTCACCCCTTACAGGGATGATATTTTCATTTTTAAAATCACATTTATTAATTATTTGTGGGTGGGGTGTGTGTATGTGTAGGTTAGAGGACAACTTATGTGAGTGGGTTCTCTTCTTCTGCCATGTGGGTCCCAGGGATCAAACACAGGTCATCAGGCATTACAGCTCATGTCTATATTCTCTGAGTCATCTCTCTGTCCCCCTTTATAGGAAATTTTTAAGCCTAATTTTCATTAGAGCTGGGAGTACAGTTCAATGGTACAGTACTTGCCTAGTATGCATGAAGCTGTAGATTTAATTCAATTATTGCATCTCTCTCTCTCTCTCTCTCTCTCTCACACACACACACACACACACACACATCCTTGAGCCAGGAATGATGACTTATCCCTATAATCCCAACAGCTGGGAAGCTAAGGCTCGTGAATTTGAGGCCAGCCTTAGCTACATAGTGATCCCTAGGCAATTTCAACTGCTTTGGTACTTTTGCAATTTAATTTTCATTGTACTTCTTAATTTTCATTGTACTTCATTTTAGGAAGGGATTAGAAATAAAAGTTAAAGACAAACTTAATAGCCAATTTTATCAGCTTTTGACAAATAGTAAGAATGATGTGAATTACAGGGGACTGTAATATTATCAGCCACATATAACTAATCTTAGAACAGACTTCCATGTTTTGTGTCCTTTTAGTTACTAACTACTTAATTCCGCATCAATGTATTGAGAGCCAGCTTGGTACATGTACTATGTTAGATGAAGTCAATGATTATGATGTATTCTTATGAAATATGTAAATGATAGCACAAGAACATATTTAACTGGGCATAGTAGTATAACCATATAATCTCTTTGTTTAGGTTGTGGAGAGCATATGAAGTTTCAAGTGAATTGTTTGATATGAGTGCAGACATATCAAGGACTTCAATGCCTTAGGCTTTTCTTGGTTCTTGTTGGCAGACTGTTCAAAAAACGTGGCTCACGTATTCCTACTCCCCTACCAAGATTAACTAAACCTCACTTCCTGTTCAAGATTATGTAATAACCCTGCCTCTTCATTCAGCTGTATAAAATAAGCAGGCTGAGTTTCCTGGCCGATGTATCTCCACTAGAGTGCATAAACCATATTATCCCAGCATTTCTGTAGGAATGTCTGTCCTTTCTCCATTCCCTTTTAGCCCCAGTTTTGTTTCTAAGACTCATCTGTGTGGGTCAAAGCAGGAGGTGGAGGAAGGAAATTCATGAATTATGGTCAGTAATCCTGGGCTATATAGAAGATCCTATATCAAAAAACAAAAATGCAAAAAACAAAAATACCAGGTGTGGTGGTGCATGCCCTTAATCCCTGAACTTGGGAAGTAGAGGCAGGCAGATATCTGTAAACTGAAGGCCAGCCTAGTCTACATAGCAAGTTCCAGGCCACATAGTGAGAGACCCTGTCTCAAAAACAACAACAACAAATCCCAATGAAGGTCAAAATTAATGTTAAGAAATGAAAAAAACCTTCCCAAACCACTGAGTTTTGAAAATGGTTTCTTCAGCCTGCAGTACACTTTCTTGTCATTAAAATGCCCTTCCTCGCTTGCATTCAAGGCCTGGCTCCCATGACTGCTTGTAAAAAGCTTTCCCAGAAGCTACCTAGAAACTGAGTGAACAGTGCCTTCCCATTGCTTACATATGACGTCAGAAGTGACCTCTCAGAGTGCTGTATAAAGAAAGCTCTGGTCTGTACTTGAGGCAGCTTCCCATGCTCCTCTCTGCCCTGCTAGATTGTAGGCACCATAAATAGCTCCTTTAGAGACCACAGGTTGGACCAGAAGCATAACTCTGGCACTTACTGCTCATGTGACTGAGAAATGGACCTGAACCCTATCATAATCAGCTTCCTCAAATAGCAAAGAAGAAATTTTAAAAATATCCACCTCATATATTTGATGTAACCTATATAAAGCACCTGGCCATAGTTTACATTCTATAATTGGTCCTTCTAAAAGGTAGAAGTCATGTCTCATTTGCTTAACTCAATGTTTTCCTGGATACTGAAATTCAGATGTTTGTTCATTAGCTCATGTAACTAATCTAATTAATGACTGAGTGACCACTTATACAGTAATATTTTTTGTTGGCACTGGTGTTTTTGTTCTTATCGTTGGGTCCTGGAAGTTAAACTCAGGGCCCCATGCATATGTCACAGGACCACAGCTATGCTATCACCTGTGCAATGGATCAAGTGTAGTCCTTTCCACATAGACTCATCTGGAAACTCTTCTAGGTGGATAATCTTTTTCAAGAATACTCCCAAATGTACAAGCATATCTCCTGTCTTGTCAATTTTACTTTTGTCTCATGGGTCTAAATATTAGAGGAGAGAATGTGACTCCATTAAATATTGAAACAGAATCAAGTTTTGGATACTATGGCTTTTATATAGTACCCTCTCTGCATTGTTGATCCCACCATAGTTTGTAGCTAGATAGTAGAAAATGAAAGGAAGAAGACATGGGTCTTTTGCTATGTTATTGTTTAATTTAATTAGTCTATATTTTGAACATATATCCCAGGTATGTTTCATCTTAAAGGGGTGAAAAATCCCTATAAATTCTCTTGAAGGTGTATTAATATTAACAAAGTCCTAGAAATTCCTATTTTCCTGAAAGTGGCTTTACAGCCTCCTTTCTCAACAGATATTGATTTTTCAATGGCCAAGGTTTTTAAACTTTAATGTTACTCTCCATTTTGGAATATTTTCCAGGTATACATTATAAATGCTTTTTGTTAGTGAGCAAAATGTTATTAATCACGACTACTATTTCAGTGATAGATATTAATGGCAGGAAATCAAAAACAATTGAACATGTCAAGATTAAATGGCTTACTGTGTCCATAAAAGAAGCCTATAGCACTGTGTTGGGCCATTATTCTTCCTTTGAGTGTTCTAGTCTAAAAAACATTATAATAAATGAATAGTCAGCTAATTTTTTAAAATCATAAAACTAATTTGCTTCCTAGTTTTGTCACCTTAAGAAAGCTCTATAGCTGATTATCTCTTTATGAAAAG